CCCTAGTTCACCAGAACTTTAGCAACACTTCATACCCCTGAAATTTATGCTATACACTCGCTCAAAACCCTTAGAAAATTTTGACGTAGGACTACGTCTATATGGGGGTACACTTTGTGGAAACCAAAAATGGAACATGTAACAAAATTATGAAAGATTTTGAACGTTAATAACTCAGCTGTCCCTAGACTAATTTCAATAATTTTATCACCAATCGATCAGCTATATTTCAACGCATATGTTAAATTTAAGAATTTATCATTTTTCAAAATGTCACTATTGGCCGCACCGCTATTGATCGGAATCAGTAGCTCTTCGTAAGTTGCTGTGGGCCATCTATGTCAAGCGCGTCATACTAAAGAGTATAAGCAGAGACAACCCCGCTGCAGTTAACAAATTGTTGTGAGTAAGCTGAAGGATGCCTCGCTGGGTACGCCCAAGACTGGACGGGCGGTAGCTGGTGGCCGTGAACGGTTCCTGGGGAAACCACTAGACGCGAACCTCCTCCTCCCAGATGACCATGGCAATGCAAGAAAGTTTGTTTTTGTTGAAGGAAGTATTACAACAAAGGTAATTGCTATTAGATATTTTTGCAAACAGTGACAGATAGTAGACATGAAGCTCAAGTGGAGGTGCCGGGCAAAGGTGTTATATCCTAGACAAATGATAAGTTACAAATTCGTTGTTGTCGTCGTCGTATTCGCCGTCGTAATCGCCGTAATATGAATTATCGCGTATTTCTGTTCAATGGCGTCCCGTAACCTCACTTTTTACCTGTGCACCAACTTTCAGAACCAGATTTAATGCCATATTCATACTCGAATCGGTTGAAAAGTACACTTAATCTTCTAGTTTACTCGGTATCTATCCATTGCAAGCAATATTTTGAAAATTGTTTATATTTTGAAAGTTGGTGCACAGGTAGATTGAGGTTAAGGAAACGCCACTGTTTCTGTTGTTCATTACATACCAAGTGAAATTCGAGAACGTAATTTCATTTGAATAGCTTGTTTAACCAGGGCTTAAACAATCGTCACGTCGGTCATAGCTTGTTATGATTGCCTGAACAATGTGTAAAAAGCAAATCGAAACATTGAACGTCGAGCGAAAGTGAAACTTGATGAAGGCCTAAGTACTCTTTCGTAGCTTCTAGTTTTCGGATTTGAAAGATTTATTTATTATGTTGAACCTTTTGACTATAGTTTTAAGATGTTTTATAAAGTGAACAATAATCCTCGGCTCTGTAAAGTTAGTTCGATTGAGCCTTATCAAATAAATTAATTAAAAAAAAATATTTTCTCAAGGGTATTTTAAGAAATCTGTTGTGAATGTAAAGATAATTTTGGGACAATAGTTTGGGAAACCTGGGGTGAACTTTAAAGGTAGGAGAATTATGAAAATATGGACACAACAATACTTTTGGTATCGTGTAAAGTTAACAAAAAATTAGATTGGGTTTTAAATCAACATACCGGTTTTTTTTCGATTCCAGGTGCAGTGACCACTCTGAATAATATTCACCCAAAATCAAGATATCCTCGATTTTTTCGATTTCCCAGACCCATTTTTTTAGTATTCAAGCTGTCAATTTCAATTTCGGAATCCTCCAGAAATCCAGAATGTTGAAATCTGAATGTTTTCTTATGATTAGGCAAAACTAAAAAAAAATATATATATCGCGGATTTTTCGTATGCTTGTGATTAAAAAAAGTCAGTTAAATCTTGACATCAATCAAACCAAGGAACATCCTAAATTTTCCAAAAATAAAAACTGATGTTTTTCGAACCTCCGTAGTTTTTTTTTAATTGTTTTTTTTTTTTCTAATGTCGAAATATTCTGACTGAAAGTCTCGCTAATAAAGATAACCTAACCTCTAATGTCGAAATCTTGAAAACTTTTCTAGGCTCTATGGTTTTGTTTTAGTCTTAAATTTTCCAATGTTCTAGTTCAAACTTAAACTTTCAAAAATTAAACCTAATCATCCATTAAGTTTAATAATTTTCGACCAAATGGCGTTCCACTAAACATCCGTGTAGGAGGTCAGTCAATTAGTAAGACTGAGCCGTACTATATAGTATGTTTAACTCTTGTAGTTGGGATAACAGAATAAATATGAAACTGTCATCCACTGGCTTCTAGAGTTCATATTCAGGTCACAAATCCAAATCAATCTGCACTACTGGTATACAGCTATATGACAAACTTTGGAACTTTGGAGTAAGTTTCATTGGTGATGATGATATGGAACTACCACGCACTGTAGCAAGACAACTATCGGTAGATTGTGGCCTAGCAACGCTGTTCGACTTGATCAAGTTTAATAACCTCTAATTGTACTCATCCTGTATGAAGCACCAAAAACGGTTTGGTTCAATTCGTGGGCAACATCGCCCCTGTGCATCCACAGGATAAATCAAAACCAACAATTGAAAAGGCCTCAACTCCATTTTGTAAACAAACCTTAAAAGGCCATTTTGTCGCGAAACCGAAGTCCACCAACGCAAACCAACAAAATGAACAGCTCTCACGACACAACAGTCTGGAAGACTCCTCACCGGCCGAATTAACTAGCGACCAACGCCGAAATCCCTTTGGAATAAGTTTCATTGGACAGTTTTACAGATTTTCAGGATGTACTGAAGGACTAGTTTGTGCTTAAATTCATGACAGTTCTAGATCTTCAGCCTCCTCAAAAATCTACAGCAATTCTAGGAACGTCTGGAACACCATAGCTACTTTCAGAACAATCAAAACTTCAGCATCTCAAGGTACGATACATCTGAAACTCTTAGAAGAGCTTAAAAAATTAATATAGTTTTGAACGTTTCAAATTCTTTAAGTCTCAGCCCGGCAGATCCAGAAGCTGTGCTATGATGTATTAATCTCTGGAGGTTTTACACACTTAAGTATCTTCTGTATCTGAAACAAAAAATCGTCAATAATTCCTTCCTTAGAATATGTTATACTCGAAGCTATGTGAGGACAGCACTCCTTTTCCAAATTATATGAAACTAGTCAGAGAGCTTACTTCAAAATATGCAGTGTATCTTTTGATTTTTTCCTAAGAGACAAACTTTGTAAATGAGCTGAGTAAGTTTAATGAATTCTATTGCTAGTATTTTGAAGCTAGAACATTATTAGCTTGAAAAATTATTACATAAAACGTTAATAATTAAAAACTAAATTTTAAGGCGTTACCATTGAACACGGTCCATATCTTCAAAACTATTGGACATAGAAAGTTTGTATTTTCAACAAAGTTTCATATTTTTAATTAGTTCTACAACGTTGTCCAAGAAAGTATCCTTCTATCTCTTTAGGGGTAAAAATTAGGTTTTTATTTTATTTTTTCATATTAGGCCATGATACATTTTTGATATTGTAGGGTTGTGGACGATACTTATGTGAACAATTCCTCTGAACACACATTTTTGATTAAGTTAACTTAACAATTAAGAACTTTGTGTTGATATTATATTTGCTTCTATGGAAGCCGAGAATTATTCTGCACTTCCACGAGAAATCACTGGGATGTTGAATAAAAGGGTTTGCTATGCAGCAAGGCACGTTTTGGCAAACGGTTACGATCTTTCAAACCCGTAGACATGAAGCTACGAAAAAGCACATATGCCTTCACTAAACTCTTCTTTTATGCGATGTTCATGATTGTAGTTCAATGTATTGGTTAAAGTCGACCTAAATCTTAGAATTCTGCATGCATTTTATTAAATCATGACGATGACCACATTTCAGAATCTGTATAACCGGTCATTCATTTCAGATTTCACTTATCATGTATACAAATCAGCAAAAGAAGTTTAAATATTGATGCTGTAAATATTTCAATTTTTAATTTAGGATAATAGGAGCTCAAGGTCGCATCAACTTATCAGCTTCAAAACAACTGTTACACATTGCCAAAGTCAACCATCACATCAAAGTTTCCTCCATTCCACAACCGATTCTCACGTCCCGGATATTCCGATCGCATTGACCCCTAACGGTCCCGCTGCCGCCGTTCCAATGTCGAGGACGTTGGACAACTTGTCCGGCTTTTATCACGCTACCTTGTACCTGCAGCAGCAGATAACGACGACGACGAGAGGCAAAACCGGTACCCATTATAGCCAACAAAACGACAACGGCGACAACAACTTCCACAATCCAACGCGACGACGATTTCGTCCGGCCGCCCGTGATGACGATGAGTGACTTGAGAGAGTAACATCTCTTTCTACTGCCAATCTACGTATGTGGGAACATGAAGAGGGGAAGGCCGCTGACTTTGAGCCCGACCGGGTGCTGCTGCTAGATGAGGTTTGCTGATGGAAAACGTAGCAGAGCGTGCAACGTTCGGATCACTCACCTCCACCGGGAGGGTTCAACAGACGGAACGTGGACTGGCTGGATGGTTGTACCTGGTTGCCAGCTTGCGGCCGTCGTTGTTGTTGTTGTTGCTGCTGCTGAGGTTGTTGTAATGTTTTGCTTCTTTACTTCGTCTATCGGTGCTCTATCTATTTTCCTCCACACTTCGTTTCCACCATTAGCGCCGATTTATGCTGTTGTGTACATTTTTGCCTTTTGCCTGACTCGTCTATTCGCTTATCGAACTCTTTCGCGTTGCTATTATTATTGTTATTAGGAGGCTTTAATGATTTCACCAACACCTTCCATCTGACTCCGGCGGTCGAGCTAAAAAGGTGCAGCGCAGTCAACGATCGAAAACGCCAATGAACTTTTGTCGGAGTGCTCCCTTTCATTAAAGAAGACCTATTTTTGCTCTCTTGGAGCCTGAATCGACGAATTGGATCGCCTATTTTAATTGAGATCGTCGCGATCACGGGTTATCCAACTTTTGACATTGCGGGTCACTTGGAATATTGACCCTCAACCGCGTGTGTTCGATCTCACCCACCCAATCCTCTTTTGAAATTCAAACAATCCACAACAGACGACACCAAACAGTGCTGCATATTCATATCGAATGATTGAAACTCACCTATGGAGGCAAACTCGCCGGGCGTTCGGCCACCGGCAATAAGCCACTTGCACCACTCGATATTGTCCGAGTCGGCAATTGGTCGTATCGGCGATAGAAACTCATCCAACAACAGTTCCAGGGATTCCGAATGCCCCGTGACTGCCAATTCTCGCTGCACGTGAGCCGATGCCAACTTCTTGCCCTTCTCCTTGAGCCGATCCAGGGTGATAACGCCACTGGTGCTGCTGCTGGTACTGGAACTGCTATGATCACCGGAGGATGATGGTCTTCGACCACCACCACCAGCACCACCACCGCCAGTGCTCGTTCTCGACGAGGACGGTGACGACGATGCCGCGTAGAACGGATCCATTTTTCTTCGATTTTCAATTTATATCGCTTTCTGAGAGCGTTTGAAACTTCACCAACAAGAAGATCACTTCTTGATTAATTTTTCTTCCTATCAATTTGCAACAGACAGTGTCACGTTTCGCACGTAATACACGCCGTCACTCTCTTGTTAACTTCTTAACTAGCGACTTTCTTCACAGTTAACGATACCGATCTAGACTCCGATCCGGATCAAAGCTTCATCACTTGCAGCAAGCTGGCCACCGGTGGCAAGGACCGGTAAGCCATGGCGATCTATTTTCTTCACCTTTCGCATGATTTCGCATGGGTCACGACGACGTTCCTCACGTTTACATGTGTAACACCACAGTTTCTTCTTCTTCTTCTTACTATTTTCGTAGTCGATTGTAAAATATGGGATTATCTGAAAAATAAAAGAAACCAACTGTTAGAACCTTTACTAGATTGAATTATGTATAAGAGGCTTCTGAAATTGAATGGTCTTTTGTAACGGTTGTTATTGAAAATGGAAAGTAAAATGTGTTACTAACTTTGCTAAAGAACTTCTAAATTATTTTTTTTTTCTCAAAAATCCGATTTTCAACTTCACCTTGGTGACACCTTGATTGTGTCCATGAACTACGTATAACGTGTTTAGGAAATTTAAGAAACTCCCACACCCTCCCCCCTGTATAGACAGTTGTTCATATTGATCTTGAAAACAATGTAGGAACATTATGCACGAGGAAGAGACGAACTAGCTCAGGGAGGCTTTTTGGCTAAAAAATAGAAGTGTACACACTTAGGTTTTGTTTTCGAGGTCGGTAAATTTTACCGAAATCAGAACAGCTGAACATTCGGTAAAACTTTGACCTTCATTTTAAAAGCTATTCGATTTGAAAATAATATCAAAACATGTTCAACCTCGTTTAAATGATCAAATCTTGTGGAGATTTAGTTTAAAAGTAGCTGAAAAGCAATTGAATTGAATTGCATAATTATACCGAACAGTTCAGCTGTTCAGATTTCGGTAAAAATAACCGAAGTCGGCGATAATTTCTAAGTGTGTAAGTACGAGATCTAAAACAATTTCAAAGTCTCGATTTTTCTCAGATCAAATCATAAGAAAACAAATTAATATCACTGAAAATTTAAAAAAAAATCTGATCTAGATTTCTAGATGTTACAGAATTCTAATTTATTTTCAAAAAATGTTTTAAAGACAAAGAAAAATAACCGGAACAAAAATGTATGCGTAGGGGAAAGTGGGGCAATGAGTGGGCTTAAAAATTAACTTATTGGACATATTTTACAAACAATCTGTTGCAGGCTTAATGCTTGAAGCCTACTTCAACTATCTATTTAATTTAAGTCTAACAAAATACTTTTCTCTAGAGCAAATATTAGAAAAATGTTAGACTAGCTCAAAATGTCAAAACTGATATAAGATTTCTGAATCAGAAAATAAGGTCTATCAGTAGATATCTTATAACTTATCGTTGATATTACTTCAGCAGCTTTATAAATGTTCATTGGTTTCTTATATGACACGATGTGTTTCTACTTTTTAATAAACATTGAAGATTTTCTTAACAAAATATTGCTTAAGTCCATTCGGGGCAATATGAGCACCAATGATATTTCAACTTTGATTCTTCAATTGCATTATTCCTTTCATAAATATGATTGTATTATATGAAATCAAGTTTTGAAGCAGCTGCTTTGGTATAGAATCAGTCATCCACAAGACTGAAAAAAATATAGCCCTAATAGAGTCTATTACAGTACTGCTTAAATTTAATTTATTCTACAGTAAATAATTGCTTCTATTAAATCTTGTTATGCTAAAACTGTTCATTGTTGACCCTTCATAAAGCCTCAAGAGAGCAGAATATTCTTACCCGTTGTTTACAAGGTCGCTCATAGCACCCCGACAGGGTGCTCATTTTACCCCAACGGTTTAGTTCCGGTTACAAAACGAACATATTTTAAATCTTCTTTCATAAGATTCAGAAGTTTACTTTTAATATTCAATTTGTATTCATGATGTAAATAGGGCTTGAAAGTATCCATTTGGTAAAACATCTTTCGAATTTCCCACTGAATTTTGTATGATTAGTGATGATTTTCTTAAGGTAGCCAAACTGCCCCACTTACCCCTACGTCAGGGATATTCTTATGATTTTATGATAGTTTCTATCCGTATTCCATACATGTTCCCATACAACATTCAAAAATCTCCCGGAAATCCAGATTGTAACGAAATTCGTTCAAATGTGATAGTTGTTTGGGACCTCAATACAAATCCAAAGAATTGCGGGGAGCAGGGGTTTGTCATCCGCCGTACAAACTTGACCCACCATAATTATTCCCAGGAGCACCAGGATCAGTTTTAAAGTGATACTGGTGAACTGAGGCAGGGAGTGGTAATGTTCACGATAGGGCTACAAAATCGTGAGTTGATAACCTGGAAGGAGCGGAATACCTAGCTCTGGTCCTCACAAGTTCCTACTTCACGCCTCCCCGAGTCATATGATAACAAAAGACTACCAGCTGATACATGGACACAGCTGTGGGTGGCGTAGCCTGGGCACTGTTGCCAGTCCGGCAATAGCAAAGTGAAGAGGTGCGACGCGAACACTGGCGCGGTAACCATAGTACGGTGATAGAGGAAATGCTTCACCAAACCCGAGCGTCTGTTCACCATGAAGGTGCGGCTCAAAATGGCGTCTGTTCTCCATGTTAGGAGCCACTGTCCTAGTGCCAGCGTGGGACTCTAAACACAGCTGTGCACGATGGTCCCCCGGCGAGACAGGGGGTTGGGGCAGGCCCAACAAGCCGCCCTGAAAAAAACAAAGTTGCAAATACTGAAGAAAGAAATACGGATCGGAACAATCGGCACAGACCTACGCGACGGAATAAGGACTACGATTGGAAACTCGGACAACTGGAACTGCAAATCGCTCGACTTCCCGGGCTGCGATAGGTTAATCTATGACGAACTTCAACCACGCAACTTCGAATTCGTAGCACTGCAGGAACTTTGCTGGACGGGACAAAAGGTATGGAAAAGCGGGCATAGAGCGGCTACTTTCTACCAGAGCTGTGGCACCACCAACGAGCCGGCTTTGTAGTGCTGCGTAAGATGCGCCAACGCGTGATTGGTTGGCAGCCGATCAACGCGAGGATGTGCAAGTTGAGGATTATGGGTCGTTTCTTCAACTACAGCATCATCAACGTGCACTGCCCACACGAAGGGAGACCCGACGACGAGAAAGAAGCGTTCTATGCTCAGCTGGAGCAGGTGTACGACGGCTGTTCGCAACGGGACGTCAAAATCGTCATCGGCGACATGAACGCACAGGTAGGACGGGAGGCAATGTATAGACCGGCAATCGGGCCAAACAGCCTGCATGCCGTATCGAACGACAACGGCCAACGATGCGTGAACTTTGGAGCCTCTCGGGGTATGGTAGTCCGAAGTACCTTTTTCCTCCGCAAGGATATCCACAAAGCCACCTGGAGATCACCTGACCAACATATAGAAAATCTAATCGACGGAAAATTCTTCTCCGACATTATCAACGTCCGCACGTACCGCAGTGCGAACATACACACTAAGATTTTTTTACAGGAGTCAGTATTTTTTTACTGGGTTTTTGAATTGCTGAAAAAGTCGGTAAACATTCAAATGACCGTTATCCGTAAGGAATCAATGAAATCGACCAATTTTATTTTCTATCATTAAATGGGGTTAACAGAACTAAGTATGTACAAGTTCAGAACAAATATTCTCATTAATAAATTTTCCACAGATTTTTAAACTTTTACCGAACAGTTCCGCAATTCAAAAACTCGGTAAAACCGTACTGACTCGATTAGTGTGTAGATTCGGACCACTACCTAGTTGCAGTATGCATGCGCTCAAAACTCGAAGTCGAACGCCGGCGACCAAACATTGAGCAACTACAGGACGCCGGAGTTGCCCAGGACTACGCGCAGCAGCTTCTCTTGAAGATGGCTGGAGGGACATCCGTTCCGCCATAGGTAGTACTGCTGCAGCGGCACTAGGTACTGCAATCCCGGACCGAAGAAATGACTGGTTTGACGGCGAATGCAAACTGTTAGTAGAGGAGAAGAATGCAGCACGGGCAAGAATGCTGCAACACCGAACGTCAGCAGGAAGACCGAGATCGCGAGGCGATGGCAAAGCTGTACCGCGTAAACGACACACGGAAGTTCTACGAGCAGCTAAATAGTTCGGGCAAAGGCTACGTGCCGCAAGCCGATATGTGTAAGGACTTGGACGGTTACCTTCTCACGAACGAGTGTGACGTGATTGAGAGGTGGAAGCAGTACTATGACGAGCACCTCAACGGTGATGCAGCAGGAAACGAAGGTGGCACGGTAACAGACCTTGGAGCACGCGCAGAATACGACAGGCTACCGGCCCCTGATCTTGAAGAAGTTGAGGAGGAGATCGGTCGGCTGAAGAACAACAAAGCAACTGATGTAGATCAACTACCAAGTGAGCTATTAAAATACGGTGGTGAACCTCTGGCTAGAGCGCTGCACTGAGTAATTGCTTAGCTTTGGGAGGAGGAGATATTATCGGAGGAGTGATTCGGCAGGTTCTGCAGAAATGCCGCGAATACAACGTGCTCACACATAATTTGTTCATCGATTTCAAATCCGCATACGACACAATCGATCGAGATCAGCTATGGCAGCTTATGCACGAGTACGGATTTCCGGATAAACTGACGCGATTGGTCAAGGCGACGATGGGGTGATGGACTTTCGTGTCTGCTGTTCAACATCGCGTTAGAAGGTGTGATCAGAAGAGCAGGGATAGACACGAGTGGCACGATCTTCAGGAAGTCCATCTAGCTTCTTGGCTTCGCCGACGACATCGACATCGTGGCACGGAGCTTTGAGACGATGGCGGAAACGTACATCAGACTGAAGGCTGAAGCTAGGCGGATTGGACTTGCCATCAACGCATCGAAGACAAAATACATGAAAGGAAGTGGTTCTAGGGAAGACAATGTTAGCCTCCCACCCCGAGTTCAGATTGACAGTGACGAAATCGAAGTGGTCGATGAGTTCGTGTATTTGGGCTCACTGGTGATCGCCGAAAATGATACCAGCAGAGAAATTCAAAGACGCGTTATGACAGGGAATCGTGCCTACTTTGAACGCCGGAGGACGCTCCGGTCGAAAAAAATTCGCCGCCGCACGAAGTTGACTGTCTAGGGGCTGTTCATAAACTACGTAGACAATTTTTTTGGGATTATTGACCCCCCCCCCTCCCCCTGCGTAGACAATTGTCCATACAAAAATTTTAAAATTTGTATGGGCCGTGGATAATTGTCAACTCCCCCCCCCCCTAAACTGTCTACGTAGTTTATGGACAGCTCCCTA